CATGATGTAAAGAAGATGGCGCCTTAGTTAGTGCCTTGCAATTGAGGGTTTTGTGGTTCCAGGAGAAAGTATATCAGGCCGTGGTATAAATGCTGGTCCCTGGCTTACAGATGTGACTCTTTCCTCAGGTTCATTCCGACAGGACCACCCCAGTAGCATGGGTGTTTATGGGCAGGAGTCTGGAGGATTTTCCGGACCAGGAGAGAACCGGAGCATGAGTGGCCCTGATAACCGGGGCAGGGGAAGAGGGGGATTTGATCGTGGAGGCATGAGCAGAGGTGGGCGGGGAGGAGGACGCGGTGGAATGGGGTAAGAGCAAACCTTTTCTCCTTTTATCTAATTTTGTTTCATCCATAGGATTTTCAGTGGAAAGAAGGGACTGAAAGACATAAGAAATTAATTTCTGCATTTCCATGGACAATCTGTTGAACTCAAGCCATCTTCTAAAACATGGAAATGTCATCTTTCTGGCATTATTAAGTGGCAGTTTATTTTCTTTCCCTGCCAGTATACTTTGTTGGGTTGGGGAGAACAAAGAATGGTTTTGAAACCAGAGCTTTCAGTTCCCTTCATGGTTTCCAGAGGTGAGAAGCCTCTGTGGGTAATAGATTTGGGATGGAACACACACAACCCTTCTAATGACCCTAAGTTTTTAACTAATTGCCTTTAAGTGGTTGTCTTGAAATACCTGGTGTATATACTGCAGAAAAGCAATGCAGCTATTTTCCACAATGTTTGTCCCCAATTTCTGTTTGTACTCAGAATTGTTGAACATAATAATGAAGATCTTGGTTCCATAATCCTTAAACTATAGCCTGAGGTGCACCTGATACATAGAGTTTGGATGGAACACAGAGAAATCCAATAGCATTTTGCAGAGTAATGTATATAGTTATAGGCTTACTTCCTACTGGAGATTTTGAAAGTCTAAATCGGTTTGACCATTTTGATTGATGGCACAATCTGGTTTAGAAAACTTTGTTTAGATCAATGACATAACCCTGCTGCCTCTGCCTGCCCTTCCCCTCCCTTCTCCCATTCCCTTTTCCCTATCTGGTGTCTGTACTTTGATGAAGGTGAGCTGTATTGGTGGTTAACGTAATCCAGAAGGCTTAGTTCTGTGTGTGTTCTGTCCCTAATAAACTAGTTTTAAAAAAAAAAAAGTTATGCAGAATGTTAGATATTTACATTTGGTATGCCACTACTCTACGAAAAATTAAGTAGCATTTCTTTTTTAAATAGAATGAACTTGAAAATTAAAGTTGACCTTTAACTTTCATACTGGCACGTACTCTTCACACTCAAGAGATACTGTTTTGCATATTCTGCATAACTTTAAGAAAGTCTTTAGTGAAATCTTTATTGGAAGAAAGTCATTTGATAACATGCAAAAATTTATTAATGATTTGGTATAAAGTAAAATCAATCTTATGATTTGGAAAATACTGTATTATAAAGGTTTCACTTCTTTTTGGATGTTTTTAAAATAGACATAGACACTTGAAAGTACTATCATCACGTCTCAAATCACCTAGAATTCCTAGTATTTTTAAATTGCTAAAACAATTTCAAGTTTATTTAAATACTCCAGAAGATACAATCCTAGTAATTGTGCTAGACTTTGCTAGTAGAGGGGTCTCCCCTTTCCGTGTGAGAAGTCTCTCTCAGAGCTGTAGAAGAGACCATGGCTTTCCCCATAGGTTTTTCAGCAGACTGTGAAGTAGTCTGTCGGATCCTGTGGGGATAGAACAGGGGTATTCCCTCATTCCCCCTTTTTAATATGGTGTGGTGATGGTTTTCAGTGTCTTCTGCAGGTAAGGCACTCAATGTTGTTAACATGCCCTTTTTCATTGCCTCAGTATTTTGATATTTTCATTGGCTGTTAAACGTGGAAACTTTTTAACATGCTTTGTCGCATTTATATGCTACAGGTTACAAAGTGAGAGCCTTGTATACACTTCAATACTTAAAAAGTACCCGTACTCAGTACTCAGCCGGCAGCATAATGAAAAGTGGGACTAGACACGGTGTCCATATGGAGAGGAAAAATATACATAGAATATTTTTAACAAAATGTATTCATTGTATAAATGGAATCCTTCTGTAACTTTGGTAACTGCATACTTGTTGTTTGGTAATGAACCAGAGGAGGTATAATACTCTAGAATTGTGTAACATTAAAGTGTAAACTTTTGTGTTTAAAGAGAGAGAACATTTTATGGTGTGTACTTTTAAAAGGAAACAAAGCTGCATGCAACAGCTTGAAATTGTATATTCAGGTATTAAAGGTGCAATACTGGTTAGAAAAAACACAGGGCCTCCCACTGGGGAGCTGCCTTTATTTATTTCTAAAGAAAACAAAATCTAACCCAAAAAGTCCAATTCCCCTCTTAAAAATAAGTACTTTTTCATGGCCTTAGTCATTATTCTAACTGATATGTCTATAAAGTTGCACCCCCAGTCCTTTGAGTCTTGGTATTTGTTGTAAATTCTCCTTTCACAGCGATTGTTAAATCTGTTAGTGCCCTGAGATGTATGGCTTTATGCTGAAGATTGGCTGGATGCGTCCTCTGATGTGTGTTGTAGGAATTTAATGTGGTTGTTTCCTGCTTTATTTTACTGTGACTTGTTAGGAAGCCCAGGGTCTCATTTGGCTCTCCTTTGGGAGAGGTTGAGGGTGCACCTTTATGAACATGGAAAGGTTTATCACAGCACTTAACCCCCACTTGCTCCTCCCCTCGATACCAAGCTCTTCCGGTTTTTCACCTGATGGGGTGGGTGTTTGGGATCTGTTTTTCTTCCTAATTTGCCAAGTATTGCACTATTAATACCAGCCCCCGAAATGTAAGGAGCAGAGGTACAATAAACACTGGTGATCTCTCTATTTTCACTTTCCTAATACTAGTGTCGTTGAGTGCACTCAACGACACTACTTTAGGAAAGTGAAAATAGAGAGATCACCAGTGTTTATTGTACTCTGCCTCCTTTTCATTTCGGGGGCTGGTATTAATAGTGCAATACTTGGCAAATTAGGAAGAAAAACAGATCCCAAACACCCACCCCATCAGGTGAAAAACCGGAAGAGCTTGGTATCGAGGGGAGGAGCAAGTGGGGGTTAAGTGCTGTGATAAACCTTTCCATGTTCATAAAGGTGCACCCTCAACCTCTCCCAAAGGAGAGCCAAATGAGACCCTGGGCTTCCTAACAAGTCACAGTAAAATAAAGCAGGAAACAACCACATTAAATTCCTACAACACACATCAGAGGACGCATCCAGCCAATCTTCAGCATAAAGCCATACATCTCAGGGCACTAACAGATTTAACAATCGCTGTGAAAGGAGAATTTACAACAAATACCAAGACTCAAAGGACTGGGGGTGCAACTTTATAGACATATCAGTTAGAATAATGACTAAGGCCATGAAAAAGTACTTATTTTTAAGAGGGGAATTGGACTTTTTGGGTTAGATTTTGTTTTCTTTAGAAATAAATAAAGGCAGCTCCCCAGTGGGAGGCCCTGTGTTTTTTCTAACCAGTATTGCACCTTTAATACCTGAATATACAATTTCAAGCTGTTGCATGCAGCTTTGTTTCCTTTTAAAAGTACACACCATAAAATGTTCTCTCTCTTTAAACACAAAAGTTTACACTTTAATGTTACACAATTCTAGAGTATTATACCTCCTCTGGTTCATTACCAAACAACAAGTATGCAGTTACCAAAGTTACAGAAGGATTCCATTTATACAATGAATACATTTTGTTAAAAATATTCTATGTATATTTTTCCTCTCCATATGGACACCGTGTCTAGTCCCACTTTTCATTATGCTGCCGGCTGAGTACTGAGTACGGGTACTTTTTAAGTATTGAAGTGTATACAAGGCTCTCACTTTGTAACCTGTAGCATATAAATGCGACAAAGCATGTTAAAAAGTTTCCACGTTTAACAGCCAATGAAAATATCAAAATACTGAGGCAATGAAAAAGGGCATGTTAACAACATTGAGTGCCTTACCTGCAGAAGACACTGAAAACCATCACCACACCATATTAAAAAGGGGGAATGAGGGAATACCCCTGTTCTATCCCCACAGGATCCGACAGACTACTTCACAGTCTGCTGAAAAACCTATGGGGAAAGCCATGGTCTCTTCTACAGCTCTGAGAGAGACTTCTCACACGGAAAGGGGAGACCCCTCTACTAGCAAAGTCTAGCACAATTACTAGGATTGTATCTTCTGGAGTATTTAAATAAACTTGAAATTGTTTTAGCAATTTAAAAATACTAGGAATTCTAGGTGATTTGAGACGTGATGATAGTACTTTCAAGTGTCTATGTCTATTTTAAAACATCCAAAAAGAAGTGAAACCTTTATAATACAGTATTTTCCAAATCATAAGATTGATTTTACTTTATACCAAATCATTAATAAATTTTTGCATGTTATCAAATGACTTTCTTCCAATAAAGATTTCACTAAAGACTTTCTTAAAGTTATGCAGAATATGCAAAACAGTATCTCTTGAGTGTGAAGAGTACGTGCCAGTATGAAAGTTAAAGGTCAACTTTAATTTTCAAGTTCATTCTATTTAAAAAAGAAATGCTACTTAATTTTTCGTAGAGTAGTGGCATACCAAATGTAAATATCTAACATTCTGCATAACTTTTTTTTTTTTAAAACTAGTTTATTAGGGACAGAACACACACAGAACTAAGCCTTCTGGATTACGTTAACCACCAATACAGCTCACCTTCATCAAAGTACAGACACCAGATAGGGAAAAGGGAATGGGAGAAGGGAGGGGAAGGGCAGGCAGAGGCAGCAGGGTTATGTCATTGATCTAAACAAAGTTTTCTAAACCAGATTGTGCCATCAATCAAAATGGTCAAACCGATTTAGACTTTCAAAATCTCCAGTAGGAAGTAAGCCTATAACTATATACATTACTCTGCAAAATGCTATTGGATTTCTCTGTGTTCCATCCAAACTCTATGTATCAGGTGCACCTCAGGCTATAGTTTAAGGATTATGGAACCAAGATCTTCATTATTATGTTCAACAATTCTGAGTACAAACAGAAATTGGGGACAAACATTGTGGAAAATAGCTGCATTGCTTTTCTGCAGTATATACACCAGGTATTTCAAGACAACCACTTAAAGGCAATTAGTTAAAAACTTAGGGTCATTAGAAGGGTTGTGTGTGTTCCATCCCAAATCTATTACCCACAGAGGCTTCTCACCTCTGGAAACCATGAAGGGAACTGAAAGCTCTGGTTTCAAAACCATTCTTTGTTCTCCCCAACCCAACAAAGTATACTGGCAGGGAAAGAAAATAAACTGCCACTTAATAATGCCAGAAAGATGACATTTCCATGTTTTAGAAGATGGCTTGAGTTCAACAGATTGTCCATGGAAATGCAGAAATTAATTTCTTATGTCTTTCAGTCCCTTCTTTCCACTGAAAATCCTATGGATGAAACAAAATTAGATAAAAGGAGAAAAGGTTTGCTCTTACCCCATTCCACCGCGTCCTCCTCCCCGCCCACCTCTGCTCATGCCTCCACGATCAAATCCCCCTCTTCCCCTGCCCCGGTTATCAGGGCCACTCATGCTCCGGTTCTCTCCTGGTCCGGAAAATCCTCCAGACTCCTGCCCATAAACACCCATGCTACTGGGGTGGTCCTGTCGGAATGAACCTGAGGAAAGAGTCACATCTGTAAGCCAGGGACCAGCATTTATACCACGGCCTGATATACTTTCTCCTGGAACCACAAAACCCTCAATTGCAAGGCACTAACTAAGGCGCCATCTTCTTTACATCATGATAAAACACCCCTTAATTGGTAGGCTCTCTTAAGTTCAATGAAAACTGCTGGTTCATCATGACTGAATATCTTATATAGTTAGAAAAGCACTCTGGCTAACATATACTTTATAGGGTTCTGTATCCTAAGATGTCTCCAAAAGCAGCTTCTTTTGAACTATACTCAAGAAATGAAAACAGAGCCAGGTTTTTTACAGCTTTAGCATACTGCTAGGGGCTGAGCTCCATAAAGCAACACACTACTGCTTTCAGTTGTTAAGATATCCCCAGGCCGGGTGCAGTGGCTCAAGCCTGTAATCCCAGCACTTTGGGAGGCCGAGGCGGGTGGATCACGAGGTCAAGAGATCGAGACCATCCTGGTCAACATGGTGAAACCCCGTCTCTACTAAAAATACAAAACATTAGCTGGGCATGGTGGCGTGTGCCTGTAATCCCAGCTACTCAGGAGGCTGAGGCAGGAGAATTGCTTGAACCCAGGAGGCGGAGGTTGCGGTGAGCCGAGATCGCGCCATTGCACTCCAGCCTGGGTAATAAGGGCGAAACTCCGTCTCAAAAGATATCCCCATAGATGGAATATAATTTAAAAAGAGCAACAAATCCTGGTACAAACTAAATTCTGAAAATAATTTTCTTTTTGGTTACCTCTCTCCACACAAAAGAATTGCAAATATTCTGTGAGACTATTTTTTCCCCTTTCCCTTCTCTATTTTTTTTTTTTAATCTTTATTTATTTTTAAAAAGACAGCGTGTCTCACTATGTTGCCCAGGCTGGTCTCAAACTCCTGGCCTCAAGTGATTCTCCCACCTTGGCCTCCCATCAAGTGCTGGGATTACAGGTGTGAGCCACCGTGCCTGGCCTTTTCCCCGACACTAATGGATATAAAAAAACAGCAAGCAAAAAACAGCTTTTACTTGACTATCAAAATCGTAGTAGCCTGCTGCCTGCTCACTTTGCATTAATGACTGATAGGGAGGCCAAAGACAATCTTGGAATTACTCACTGCATACAACCTCCCCAAAGACAGCAGGGCTAGAAGTCTAAAACATTTTTTTCTGATCAATTACAGTTATCTCTTTTCTTTTTTTTGGTAAGGCATATTAAAAACAATTAAATTGGAAAAAAGCACTGTAATCTTTACTCTAGCTGTTAGAATGTCATGCCCTAAAGATGCATCCTGGATTCCAAAAGCAAACTATGGTACAGTATCCCCCTGTTCAAAAACTCCAAATATGGCTGGGCACAGTGGCTCATGCCTCTAATCCCAACACTATGGGAGGCTGAGGCGGGCAGATCACCAGAGGTCAAGAGGTCAAGACCAGCATGACCAACATGGTGAAACCCCATCTCTACAAAAAATACAAAAATTCACTGGGTGTGGTGGTGGGCACCTACAATCCCAGCTACTCAGGAGGCTGAGGGAGGAAAATCACTTAAACCAGGAGGCAGAGGTTGCAGTGAGCCAAGATTGCACCACTGCACTCCAGCCGTGGTGCCAAGAGTGAAACTCCATCTCAAAAACAAAAACAAAACCAAAAAAATTCACAAAAAACTCCAAACATAATCATTCTTATTTGGTTTTCTCTCTTAGCAACTCACTCTGCTGCCCGTAGCTGCTGCTCTGTTGGCTATATTGACTTGGAGCCTGGCTGTAGGATCCAGTTTGGGGTGGGTAACTAGTGGGAGGCTGCTGCCCATAGCTGCTTTGTTGACCATAGCTACTCTGCTGTCCATAGCTGCTTGGTTGCCCATAGGTGTTCTGCTGAGAGTAACTGCTTTGATCATAACTAGTCGGCTGTGTAGAGGAATAGCTGAAAGAAAGAAAGAAAAAAAAGCTTTTTAGAAAGGAAAGGCGGCTTGTTATTTCAAATCCCCTAAATAAAAGAGACATTCATAGCATGTGACACAGACATCCATAAAACAACACTTACTTTCTACACATCAACAATTTGAATTTCAAATCTGCAAATATTTTTGTATTCAGAACAATAAAACTTTAAATGAGAAGGGGAATCATTATAACAACCATCTGCACAACCTTTAAAGAGTTTCCTCTTTACTACCATTTAAAACAATGTCATTTTCAACTATATTCAAGGCAAATATGGGAGTTTAGATACTGCCTGTATTAATGCACATGTGCACTTGGGGAAGGCTGACCCAGTGAAATGGGGACTGAGAAAATGTAGAGAGAGTGAAGTGAGGCATTTAGTTCCAAGCCTGCCCGCCAATAATCTTGAGTTAACAATCCTGAAGGGATAAGGGTATGGAACATAAGAATAGCAGTTTTTCTCCTAAAGACCTGTTTTTGCTCCTTTCAATCTTTCAGACATACCTGAGTATAAAATCTAAGTATTAATAAAGGATAAGGAAACTTCAGAATGAAGATACTGTATGAAAGATAAATATTAAAATTGTTAATTACATGAGAGAAACTAATCAGATACATTCTTTCACAGAAATAAAACTTGAGAAGAATGGTAGCTCACACCTGTAATCCCAACACTTTGGGAGGCAGGGATGGGCAGATCATCTGAGGTTAGGAGTTTGAGACCAGCCTGGCCAACATGGTGAAACCCTGTCTCTACTAAAAAATGCAAAAATTAGCTGAGTATGGTGGCATGTGCCTGTAGTCCCAGCTACTCGGGAAGCTGAGGCAAGTGATTTGTTTAAACCAGGGAGGCAGAGTTGCAGTGGGCCGAGACTGCGCCACTGCATTCCAGCCTGGGTCACAGAGCAAGACTCTGTCTCAAAATATATACACACACACACACACACACACACACACATATATATATACACACATATATATATATATATAAAATAAATAAAATTAGGCTGGGTGCAGTGGCTCATGCCTGTAATCCCAGCACTTTGGGAGGCTGAGGTGGGTAAATCATCTGAGGTTGGGAGTTTGAGACCAGCCTGACCAACAAAGAGAAACTCCCTTTCTACTAAAAATACAAAATTAGCCGGGAGTGGTGGCACATGCCTATAAACCCAGCTACTCTGGAGGCTGAGGCAGGAAAACTGCCGAAACACAGGAGGTGGACGTTGCAGTGAGACGAGATCATGCCACTGCACTCCAGCTTGGGCAACAAGAGGGAAACTCCATCTCAAAACAAAACAAAACAAAACAAACAAAAAAAAAACCACCCCCCCATCAAAAAAAAAAACCAAACTGGTATTAAGCTGTTGACAAATCATAATGAGAAACAGTAAGAACACGTATTTTGAGACGGAGTTTCGCTCGTTACCCAGGCTGGAGTGCAATGGCGCGATCTCGGCTCACCGCAACCTCCGCCTCCTGGGCTCAGGCAATTCTCCTGCCTCAGCCTCCTAAGTAGCTGGGATTACAGGCACGTGCCACCATGCCCAGCTAGTTTTTTGTATTTTTAATAGAGACGGGGTTTCACTATGTTGACCAGGATGGTCTCGATCTCTCGACCTCGTGATCCACCCGCCTCAGCCTCCCAAAGTGCTGGGATTACAGGCTTGAGCCACCGCGCCCGGCAGAACATGTATTTTTAAGTCTGATTAAACTATGCCAGGAAGTTCAAGGATACAGTGAGTTATGACTGTGTCACTGCAGACCAGCCTCAACAAGAGCAAGGCCGTCTCCAAACATAAACTAAGGTTCTAACATGTCACATCCCTCACCACAGCTGTATGAATTCAACAGTCTCACTGTGTATCTATCCAACTTGCCAGATTAACTGTTCTCAACACAATAGGTACGGACCTGCTCTGTGGAAGAAGAGTTGTAAGCCCTGCCCACTTTTGCTCCAAGCTGTATGGAGAAAAACCCAGTCAATTCTACTTGTTTCTAAATCTGTTCATGTCTGTTTCAAAAAGAAAAAAAATGGAGTAAGTGCAAAACCCTGCTACTTGTAGCAAAAGTTAAGTTTCGGGGAACAATTCAAACAGTTTGAAAACCCAATCTAATTAAACACGGGTTAAGAAAACTTGCAGGCCAGACATGGTGGTTCATGCTTGTAACCCCATAATCCCAGTACTTTCGGAGGCCAAGATGGGAGGATCACATGAGGCCAGGAGTTGGAGACTGGCCTGGCTAACATGGTGAAACCCTGTTTCTACTAGCACTTGTAATCCCAGCTGGAGAGGATTATCCCAACTCGGGAGGCTGAAGCAGGAGAATCACTTGAACCTGGGAGGCAGCAGCTGCAATAAGCTGAGATTGTGACATTTCACTCCAGCCGGGGCAGTACGAGTGAAACTCCGTCTCAAAACAATAAAACAAAACCAAAAATTAGTCAGGCATGTAGGCGTGCGCCTGTAGTCCCAGCTGCTCATGAGGCTGAGGCATAAGAATCCCTGGGAGGCAGAGGTTACAGTGAATGGAGATCACGCCACTGCATTCCAGCCTGAGCAACAGAGTGAGACTGTCTCAAAAAGGAAAACCTGCAGTTCTTTCTCTACTTAAAAAAAAAACCAGCTGGGTGCAGTGGCTCACGAGGTCAGAAGTTGAAGACCAGCCCGGCCAAGAAGCCTTGTTGCTACTAAAAAAAAAACACCAAAGTGGGACGGGTGCTCTTGTCTGTAGTCCCATTCACTACTTTGGGAGGCTGAAGCAGGTGAAATGCTTGTGCCCAAAAGTTCAAGACCAGCCTGGGCAACAGGGTGAAACCCTATCTCTAAAAAACAAAAAAACAAAAACAAACAAACAAACAAAACCAAGAACTAGCTCGGAGTGGTGACACACACCTGCAGGTCTAGCTACCTGGGAGACTGAGGTGAGAGGACTGCTTGAGACCGTGAGGTTGAGACTACAGTGAGCTGTAATTGTGAAATGCATTCTAGCCTGGTCAACAGAGAAAGATCTTGTCTAAAAATAATAAATAAACAAACAAACAAATAAATAAAAAAGCCAGGCACGGTGGCTCATAATCCCAGCACTCTGGGAGGCCAAGGTGGGCAGATCACCTGAGGTAAGGAGTCCGAGGCCAGCCTGGCCAACATGGTGAAGCCCATCAAATACAAAAATTAGCTGGGTGTGGTGGTATGTGCCTGTAGTCCCAGCTACTCGGAGGCTGAGGCAAGAGAACTGCTTAAACCTGGGAAACGGAAGTTGCTGTGAGCCGAGATCAAGCTGCGGCACTCCAGCCTGTTGACAGAACGAGACTCCATCTCAAAATAAATAAATAAAAAGACTTGCTCCAAACATTAAAATGTTAGTGCCTAAACGAACCTTTACGCATTAGGTAACATACAAAATGATTAAGGTGAATTATAATGCCCTATACTTTACTTATGCGAACTGCATTGGAGAAGATGGCTCTTACGGTTCTATTTACATGCTTTCAGATACTTCTGCTTCTCATCCGAGTTAACTAAAACAGCAAAAGGAAGAACCTTAAAGGAAGAACCTAGAGTAATAAAAGATGTTTGTCTGTATTTAGAGAGAATAGATGCTAGCTGCCAGGCAACACCATAGGAACCTAGAACTTAGGCTTTAATGTAACTAAGTATGGTCAGACCACTTATCACTGGGACAGTCAAATAACATACCTTACCTAAAGATGTCAAAGTAAGCTGGTCAACAACCTGAAAGAAACTGTTTTGTTACTTACCACAAAAAGTAGACTGACCTGGTAGGAGGGTAGGATGGAGGTGCGGTGACTGGCTGCATAGGGTAGCTCCCAGGTACCTGGGGATAACTGTAGTTACTCTGTCCATATCCTAGGCTGGGCTGGTTGTAACCTCCTGTGCTAGATTGAGGTTGACTAGTCTCAGTGGGCTTGTTACCATCCTGCGGTCTAAGAAGAGAAATAAAAAATAAAATCAAAAAGTGACCTTTTTTTGTGGTCTGCCAAACACAAACAACAGGGTAAGAATGCTACACATCTATGAGCAATAAGCAATGTTACGATTAAGCTTGGAAACAAATACGATCCTAAAGTAAACTATCAAAACCCATGTCAGTCCCACTATATTTGTGGAAGACAATGCTAAGGAAGGGGGAGAATCAATTGTATCTATAGAAGAGACATCAATATCTCCACTCATCACAGTAAGGGCTATCAACGAGTGTTTCAATACTGTGTGCTACCAGTTTAGGTGATCTGGGAGGAGTAATCTGTTAGGGAATAAATGCTTTTTCTAAGGGGACTGCTGAAGACAAGAAACTAACAATAATGTTAAGTTTTAGGTTAGAGTAACATTTACGTTAAGTCCATGGCATCATATATTTAGAGAATTTGTGGGTTTATGTTTCTCATTTATTTAAAACAGACAAGGCTAAGCATGGTGGCTCACACCTGTAATCCCAGCACTTTGGGAGGCCAAGGCAGGAGAATGGCTTGAGCCCGGAAGTTTGAGACTAGCCTGGGCAATACAGGGAGACCCCCTCCTCTACAGAAATAGAAAAAAATTAGCCAGGTATGGTAGTACACGCCTGTGGTCTCAGCCACTTGGGAGGCTGAGATGGGAGAACTGCTAGGGTGAAAGTTGCACAGCCTAGGCGACAGAGAGACACCATCTCAAAAAACAAACTGTCGGGGGCTGTGGCTCACACCTGTAATCCTAGCACTTTGGGAGGCCAAGGCAGGTGGATTGCCTGATGTCAGGAGTTCAACACCAGCCTGGCCAAACTAAGTGAAACTCTGTCTCTACAAGAAATACAAAAAATTAGCCGGGTGTGGTGGCGGGCACCTGTAATCCCAGCTACTTAAGAAGCTGAGGCAGAGGCTGCAGAGAGCCGAGATTGTGCCATTGCACTCCAGCCTGGGCCACAAGAGCAAACTCCGTCTCAAAAAAACAAAACAAAACACGACACCAACCAACAAACCAGAAAAAAAAATTTCCTAAACTGGGCTGCCATAAATTAATCCAACTTTGGCTTAAAGTTTCTGTAATGGAAACACCAGAGTAAGGCAAAGAGATCCCTGCCAACACCCTGCTTGGATGAACCTGGAAGTAAATATCCCTGTTAAATGATACAAATTGATCTGATTTCCAAGGAAAAACTCCAGGAGTTTCTATTGCCTTAGCCCTAACAATTTATACCAAGGCTGCAGCACAGTGAGTTAGAGCTATTAATATTTTAAGCAAAGTCCAAAGAATCAACAGGCAGGATGGGCGCAGTGGTTCACACCTGTAACCCCAGCACTTTGGGAGGCCAACGCGGGTGAATCACTTGAGGTCAGCAGTTCATGAGCAGCCTGGCCAACATAGTGAAACCTTGTCTCTAGCAAAAATACAAAAATTAGCCGGGGATGGTGGAACACGCCTGTAGTCCCAGCTACTTGGGAGGCTGAGGCAAAAGATTTGCTTGAACCTGGGAGGCGGGCATACTCGCCACTGCATTCCAGCCTGAACAGAGCAAGACTCCATCTCAGGAAACAACCAAACAAAAACAAACAAGAAAGCCAGGAAGACAAAAGAGGATGTAAAGTACTAACTTCTCCCAAGCTGAAATGGGTCCCATGCCCCTCTTTCCAATGGGGAAAAGGAATAGCTGCCAATGATTACGATAGACAGCCATTATAAAATGGTAACAACTGGGAGAAAAGATGACTCATCAAAATCCAATTCACATATAAAACCCTCCAGATATGGCTTGGATATGCTGTTGCATCTGAGTATCAAATGGGACTTCATATATCTGATAACACTCTGAATGAGGCCCTTTCGGGAATGAGCCTACTGCACTCCAGCCTGGACAACAGAGTATTTTTAGTTAGTTTAACGTAACTACTGCAAAGGCTGCCTACCAAGTGGCTCTGATTACTCACTGTGCATTTTAGAAGTAATTTCAAGAGTGTCAGAGCTCGTTTCTTCCCTCTACAGCAGGTAAGTCTAGGTTAGAAATTGATTTTATCCCCTAAAATGTCTTTTCAAACCAGAATTCAATGTACCTTGAAGACTGGGTACAGAAACCACCTAAGTCACTGTCTAAAACAAAGAACTAAAATCCGTTAATAATCAATACTGTTTACCCGCTAACCAGTCATGGGGTATAAGCTCTGTTCACCCTATAGCAGGGTCCCCAATTAAGAATTTTTATTTGCCTAGTATTTAGATTATCAAGCCTCTATATAACGTAATCAACTGCTTAAACCAAGGCAGTAATGTTTGATTTCTTGGATATGGATATGTCCTTTTCAGACAATTAGGTTATAAGACCATTTCTTGACTCACATGATGCTCTACTTCCCCTTCTATCCATGTGAACTACCATGTTTTTCCCAAAGAGAAAGCAGTTACCCATTTACAGGGTCAATGAAAACGAAAGATAAAACACCAAAGTACAACTGTATTAGTTACGCTATGTGAAAAAAACACACACACACACGCAAATTAATTTTATTCTAGGTTTAAAAACAATAGCCTCCTACTACCCCAAAGGGTCATTCTGAAACCAGACAACTCTTTAATGCCATTCCTCATTTTGGCCCTGGGATGGCACCACTTTACTTTATTTTTTGAGGAGTACAGTGGCGCCATCTTGGCTCACTTAAACCTCCATCTCCCAGGTTCAAGTGATTCTCCCGTCTCATCTTCCCAAGTAGCTGGGATCATAGGCATGCGCCACCATGTCCAGCTAATTTTTGTATTTTTCGTAGAGATGGAGTTTCACCATGTTGGCCAGGCTGGTTTTGAACTCCTGACCTCAAATAATCCACCTGCCTTGGCCTCCTAAAGTGCTAGGATTAGAGGTGTGCGCCACCGCACCCAGCCGATTTCTCTGTTAAATGCAGAATATTTCTGTGGTATGTTCTAGCATATCAGTTACTGTAATGACTTTAACAACAGTGAGTATCTGAGAGTATTCGAAAGCTTTTCAACCATTAAAAAGGAACTAAATGGCCGGGAGCGGTGGCTCACACCTGTAATCCCAGCACTTTGGGAGGCCGAGGCGGGTGGATCATGAGGTCAAGAGATCGAGACCATCCTGGTCAACATGGTGAAACCCCGTCTCTACTAAAAGTACAAAAAATTAGCTGGGCATGGTGGCACGTGCCTGTAATCCCAGCTACTCAGGAGGCTGAGGCAGGAGAATTGCTTGAACCCAGGACGCGGAGGTTGCGGTGAGCTGAGATCGCGCCATTGCACTCCAGCCTGGGTAACAAGAGCGAAACTCCGTCTCAAAAGAAAGGAACGAAATTACGATTTTTATTTTTTTTATTTTTATTTTTTTGGTGACGGAGTCTTGCTTTGTCACACAGACTGGAATACAGTGGCATGACCTTGGCTCACTGCAACCTCTGTCTCCCGGGTTCAAGCCATTCCCCGCCTCAGCTTCCCGAGTAGTTGGGATTACAGGCGCATGCCACCATGCCTGGCTAATTATTGTATTTTTTTTTAGTAGAGTAGAGACAGGGTTTCACCATCTTGGCCAGGCTCGAATCACAGATTCTCTTAAGTGAACATAGTTGCTCTCTTTCCCTCCAACATGAGACTGACGCATTAAACAGACTGTGGCCTTACCTTGTAGGTGCAGTGGCTGCTGGCTGTTGCCCATAGGCTGGATAAGCAGGCTGAGTGCCATATGCAGACTGAGCTGCGTAGGAGGCCTGGGTGGTGGTGACTGTAGCAGTGGTGGTATCATAAGCACCAGTGCCATACCCCTGGACAGGCTGGCTGTATGCCTGGGGGGCAGTTGGAGTAGTATAACCTAGAACAAAGGAGAGCTGCATCAGATTTCAGGCCCCCTCAGATATCTGCCTACTCATTATCAGAACAATTTGTAAACCACTTACTTAAAACCACCCCTTTAAATACACCCCCTTCAGCAAGAGTAGCAACAAACTAGTATTTAAAGCCTAAGTTCTCTGAATGTATCTAGTTTTTGGTAAAGCAACTGTCTCATTTGCTCTAAACCCACACCTAACAGAAGTGACATGTCATGCCACAGAAAATGGGGTTCCTTCTGCCTCCTCCTGAATAGGAGACAAGTCTGCTTTTGCCAAGTCTGTACTGATTTTGCTAGCAAGCCTTCTTAATAAGTTTCTGAACAAACTTACATACCCCAAAATACCCTCAAGCACGAATAAAATATATCCCCCAAAAAAGGTAAAAGGGAAATGACATAGCATTTTAAAATAATTATAAAATAATGGCCCAGGCACTAGTTCTAGCATTAAAACCTGTTAATTTAGGCAGTAATTAATTTAATCACTTTACTTTGGTCCCAAGCACATATCATGGGAAGCACAAGCTTCAAGAAACTAGAAATTATTTGAGCACATAAATAATAAAAATATACTATAAATTACAGTTACTTAACACAGTTTATCTTAACTTTTTTTGGTAGATTATTTAAAATTAAACTTTGATACTGCTCCAAACAAGTATGTAAAAGCTAATGTTTTCACATCACAAATGAGCTTCCTGCCTGGTATCAAGTTACTAAGCTCCACTCTTCTCTTACTTACCTACCACAAGCAAAAGAGCCTTTTCCTGCTCAGCAATATTGGAGGTAAACCCTAGAGTCCCTCTTCCCCTTCAGTATTTCACTAACCAGGTGTCAGAAAAGACCTGCTCTCACAGGTATGCTGCAAAGCAAGATGTATTCTCTCCCTAGCTCCTGCCTCTGCCAGATGAGGCAGGACCCATGCCTTTCCCTTGGGACTTGGATTTGTGAAGCATGACCAAAACTCCTAAAGTCTGCAGCTCCTAACTAGAGTCTCTTTCCTGTAAGAGGTGTTACAATGTGCTGGGCTCTTCTTTCTCATGATCAATGGGCACAATTAAGCCACGCAATAAAATCTATGATTTATACTCTGGGAGGCTAGGGTGGGAGGACTGCTTGAATTCAGGAGTTAGAGACCATACTGGGTAACACAGACCTCACCTCTACAAAAAACAAACAAAATTAGCTGGGTATGGTGGTGTGAGCCTTTAGTCCCAGCTACTTGGGAGGCTGAGGTGGGAGGACTGCTTAAGGTTGTGAGGTCAAGGCTGCAGTAAGCCAAGATCCAGCCTACGCAATAGCGACTCTACTAAAAAAAAAAAAAAAAGTTTGGTCTAAATGCCAGCATTTATATCCATCACACACAAAAAGTGTAAATCTCACAATAAAGTTTTCATGTTTAAAATAAATACTGAATCAAGACTGCTCACTTTAGTTAAGATTTAGGGCTTTAAAGTGTCCTCACATACTGGCCAAAAACAACTATAAGCTTCTTTTTGTACAACCATCTTTTGTAGCACAGAGTATAACACTCTTCCTTCTCCACCTGAAGGGAAATTCTGAATTTAATTATACACAGAGACAGTAACTTCCTCGTCAAAACTGCTGGGTTAAAATGTATATGAAACTATACACAGTTTCAGAAAACAGTAAGTCCTAAGCAATAAGTTTTTGAGTTGGCGTGTTGTTCATCTGAACTGATATACTGATAAATATATATATATATAAAAATATATATATTTTTTTGGCAGAATCCTAACGTTAACCATGTAAGGCATTCATTTATTTAAATTTAACTAAAGTCTCATACCATCTACCCTACTGCTGTTTGTACACAGATTACTCCCCGCTACACGAGAATCTGTAAGATTTACAAGGAGGGCAACTAAAAAAACAAAAAACTAAAAGTGATCGGGGCAATAACTTATGTTACAAAACTATACAGCAACAGTTAAGGCCTTGTCATGCTAAGGATTATAGCAACAGACACTGGGTTAACAAATAATCTTTTAATTAATCTGTAGTACCCACAAAAGCAGCCAAGCAAAATGAACAAAAACCAACAAAGCAAAATGATTTAATGACCAAAAAAAGACCAATGACAAAAGAAAACACACACCCACGTGTTGACAACTTGAAGGAAAAAGGTGGTAAGAAACATTATACAGATCAACCAAAATTTTTGTTCAACAGTAAAAAAGTTTTTAAGAATTCCACTGAACTGACATTTATATAGCTCTCTTCTAAAGTTTAATTTTTAAAAATCCTAGAAGAGGCTGGGTGTGGCCACTCATGCCTATAATCCCAGCACTTTGGGAGGCCAAGGCAGATGAATCATTTCAGGTTAGGAGTTTGAGACCAGCCTGGCCAACAGGGTGAAACCCCATCTCTACTAAAATACAAAAATTTGCTGGGCATGGTGGTGAATGCCTGTAATCCCAGCTACTCGGGAGGGTGAGGCAGGAGAATAGCTTGAATCTGGGAGGCGGAGGTTGCAGTGAGCTGAGATTGTGCCATTGCACTCCTCCTGCCTGGGCAACAGCAAGACTCTCTCTCAAAATCCTAGAAGAGAACAGTGTATTTTAATCTATTTCCTCCAATGATTATCTGGTTGATTTTTTTTTGAGAGATAGTCTCACTCTGTTGCCTAGGCTGGAGTACAATGGTGCAGTCTCAGCTCACTGCAGCCTCCATCTCCCAGGTTCAAGCGATTCTCCTGCCTCAGCCTCCCGAGTAACTGGGATTACAGGTATTCGCCACCCTGTCCAGCTAATTTTTGTATTGTTAGTAGAGATGAGGTTTCATCATGTTGGCCAGGATGGTCTCCATCTCCTGACCTCATGATCTGCCCACCTTGACCTCCCAAAGTGCTAGGATTACAGGCGTGACCCATGGCACTTGGACCCAATGATTTTTATGTGTAAAGGCAGCCTGATGTGAGGAAAAAAACAGTGTATGTGCTTGAACCCACTCACTACCTATTAGGCTCCCACTCAGTTTTGTCACTGAACTCCAACCTGGGCAAAAGAGCAAAACTCCCTGTATATATATATAAAAAAAATCCTAGAAGAGAACAGTGTATTTTTATCTATTCCCGCCAATGATTACCCAATGACTTTTGAGATAGAGTCTCGCTCTGCCTTTGCTCATTAGGCTTAATTTTGATTTTTATAACCCAAAAGTTTTTGAAAAGATTAAGGGAGATAAGAAGTCACCCTATAAACTGTGAATTCTATACAAATTAGTATTAAGTGCAATCTAGCTCACCAAAGCTACTAGTCTCTATATTAGGGTGACCTGTACTTTTCAGGCCCACAGTCATGATGGAGCTTTCTCAACCAATGACAATATGATACATGGCTCTAGAGAACCATTACATCACTCCATGGCATCCCAGTAAAATGATCTAAGGAATCCAAAGGCTAGATCTAGCCACATGTTCACACCATACTTGTTTTTAAAAAATACCTTTAATACATGAAGTTTATTTCACAATTTCCAAATTCTATGCTAAAAAATCCAAACTGCCTAATTTTAGTTCCAGCTCTTTCTTCCCACAGCTGCAATTACCACCACCAGAAAGTTTAGATAAACATTTCCCATCCTATTTGAGAAACACCCTAGATAGGTTACAAAGTACCTCACATCAAAATCAGGACACTGGTACTCAATGAGATAAATTACAGATAGGGTTTTCCCCTTACTAGACTATATATAATTCGGAGAACTAAAGATAGTTTGAAAGTAAGAGCTCTGACACATTTAGGACTTTATTAAACAGTCTTTTACAATAGCAATAGTAAAGGGGGAAGTAGAGAGCCTGAAACATTTCACAGCACTAAACATAAAAAAATTATTATAGATTTTTCATGTATCCCACCCGACCTCAGTATCAGAATACAATTTCTTCTAATTCTTCGAATGATTTATTTTTTAGTTTCTTGGAATGCTATTCTATGTATTCAAGACATACCATGGATTAAAATAATTCATAACACTTAAAACAGAAAATAAAATGTGTCTGGACTAGAAACCAACCAATAGACAAACATGATACATGCAGGGTGGCAGTCTGCTCCTCTAAATAAATCTGATCATGCAATCTATCCTTCAGGGAACAGGGGAAAATCAGCTGGGGAGAAATCATCTGAAATACCCTTGGGAAGGTAAACAACTATTATTAAGGCTTGAAACAAAGTAGTATTAAATAAGAAAACCTTTCCCAAAATCAAATAAAGAATAGGACATGGATCTGCAAATGGCACCTGAAGCAGTTTTTCATTAGCACCTTGCTGTGTGTGATGTTAGAAAGTTTGGTGGGGGTTAAACAAATGAAAACACCTGAAGGGTTAACATTACAGGGTTAGACAAGATGGAAAGCATTTCCCATGCAAGAATGAGCAGGATAGTCAAACCTGTACTGGTCCCTTCTACTGTGGAAAGCACAAAACAAAAAGTAGAGGGTACACTATCAGATGAAGCAAACATGTGAAAACCAGATTGATTTTTAAGCAGCTCAATTTAAGAAGGCTCACTCTTACTCAGTATTTAGCGTTAGCACAATCTTTTACATAGTCTCCATTTTGTTGTGAGATTATTTATACACTGTATCAAACAGAAAGTTCTTTTCTCTCTTAGAATTTATCCCACCCACATTGTATCAGAGATCTCTCAAGACTGGAAGGGAAGGGAAGGGAAGAAAAAAAAAAATACCTCTTCCTAAGAATAAAGGATTCCCAAGATGCCAAGGTATGGACCAGAATATACATCCAAAAGCAGGACTAACAAACTTCTTAGCCAATGCCCTAGCCAATACGACCCAAAAATCTCCCCAAGGCAGGCCTTACCAGTGGGAGGCTGTCCATAAGAAGTTGCATAGGCGGTCTGCCCGTAAGTTGCAGTGGTCTGAGCCTGGGTATAGCTAACATCAGTGGGCTGTCCATAGGTTCCATAGCTTTGTTGCCCATATGCCTGCTCCAAAAAAAAAGAAAACAAGAACTTCATATATGAACTTTTGTATTTTAGCAATCAAATGAACTGATATCTAAGTTTCTAAACTGGAGAACCAAAATCAAAATTATTGCTTTCTAGAAGATTTTAAAAAAACAGACAAATAATCACAGTATCACAAATGTTTGTTATCCTTTACCTAATTCACTCATATTATGGTAAAGTTAGGTACAAAAAAGTTCATTAGATAAGTAGGCAATGTCATTCACAGCTTCTCAAAGGGGGGAAAAAAAGACAGGCAAAAACTCAGTTAACCATACATGAGATTAACAAGACACTTAAGGGAAGAGCAGTGAGGGGGGTATTAGCTGCCAGCACTTGGTGTAGCACAGCTGTAGTGATTGGAAACAAATGGTAAGAAGACAAAATGAAGAGAAAGCAATGAAAAGGACTAAAATCCGTCAACAGAAATTTAAAGCCCGATTTGCAGCCTGACACAAAGGCTTTAAATCTACTACACCACTTCAAAAGAAAGTGAACCGGAAGTACTGTCTTTCGAACGTAGACATCAGTAACACTTAAAATCAGGCAAGGAATGAGCTGTTCTTTCAGGTATTAGCATGATCATTCTCTAGGTTTGTTTAAATGACCGGTTATGTAGGATCTCCCAGAGATACCACACTCTGCCTGTCCTAGAACATGTTTCCATGGCAGTTACTAGTATCCATTTTATGGCACGGATCATTTCAGAATTCAACATGATCTTGAGAACACTAGAAGGCTAATTTCTAGAATCTGTTGGCCTAGGCTTTTTAACAGACTCTTTACTGGAAACAGCTTAGGAGCTCTTCAGCTAGGTGGCCAGTTTTTAGAGGTAACCCACCACTTACTGTGCAACCACTGGCAAGTTACTTAATACCTACACGCTACAATGGCCATAGCATGATCTTCCTTTGCAGAATTGCTATGATGAATAAATTCACTAAATTTAAACATAATGAAGAAGGACCAAGCATGAAACAAGGCACCTAACTTGAGAAATCATACTACAAAGCTATGGAGAGCCAATAAGCAGCTTTCAAATGGTTTCATTTATGATGGCAGAATGGAGTCCTTCGTACTCCCACTGCAGAAGTTTAAAATGCCTGGATATTTTACTATTACAAACACATTACTCATTTGTTTTACTGGATGACTGAGAGCAGCATTTTATTTGGAGGCGCAGCTACGCGTAATTATCTTAAAGATTACCTGGGTGGTCTGTGCATATCCTTGAGTGGGCTGGGCGGTGTAAGCACTGTAGCTGCAAAAGAATTAAATACAATAACTTGAATAGAGAACATTCAAATACCACCACATCCTCTACAATTATAGAAGGCTCCATACTCTATTATAATCACAGAAAAATATGGTTATAAAAGACTGACTTACCCCTGCTGCGCTGCAGCTTGGCTATAGGTACTGTAATCTAGAGGAAAATGAGGAGAAAAAATAGTGAAAAATTAGCAGAAACAAGGGAAAGAGAAAAAAGGGGGAAGCAATTTACGTGGCAGAAAGAAATCTTTAAACTGAAGAGGGGACCTGCTAACACAGGTCCAAATGAATCCCCCTTCTCTCTCAACACCTAACAGAAAAAAAGTCTAAGCCAGTTAAACTCAGAACATTTGACTATGGGATGAGCTAATGAGATCAAGATCAGCTGATTTGGCCGGGATACTTTGCATGTTCCCATGACCACAACCCCCATCCCCCAAACAATCCCGGTTGTCATTTGAAATACAGGATTATGATCATCATCTCAGACTGACAACAAGTTCTACAAACAGGATCAGAAGTTCTTACCCTCATATAAAAAGGAAGCATGCAACAATAATACAAAGTTTAACACTAGACTGGTTACATTAGAAGCTACCTCTCCTCAAAAATTAGTTTTCATTCCCCTCACTTCAGGAAGTTAGACAGTCATTCCCTAGCTCAACGACAGTGAAATGGAACGGCAGACAAGAAGACAGTCACCACAGTCCAGTGTTCTAAAGGGTTTGCTGTTAGAACTACATTTGTGCAGTAACTCAAAAGCTAGACACATTATAAATCCTGGTGAAGCATAGTTAAGGCAGAATCCTGAACACTGGCAAAGAAGAGAACCAACTTTCATGCAACTCAAAATGATTTCAACTTAATGACATGTATTTTCATCCCTTATTTAAGTAAACCTCCCTGTAATTTTGCTTTTCCTATGAAATTTACACCATGCATCCAAAGGGACTAAAAACTCTGGTCCACTGAGGTGTCTACAACTAGTAAAAACAAACAGAAAATAGTTACGTATTCAGAGCACTACTGAATTAAAGTTAGGTAAGTTTAGTGTTTTTTTTTAAAGGCAGTTAAAGTAACGGTTTTTGAAAATTCTGCCCAATTCTTCATTTTTCCACAGGAATACATATCTTGTTCTGTCTAAAGACAGTACCGCCATTAGGATGGAAAAAAATGGGTCCTTTATTTTCCAATCAGAAAGTAGTCCCTCATCCAAAACCAACAATTGCATCCACTTCACGCAATCCAAAGCTAGCCTCACAATACCTTGGCCTGGCCTGAGAGAATTTTGCTGAATCCACCACTCTATGTTGGCTTACCCATTTACCTTTCCATACTCAACTGGACTACTTTCTTTCCTTTGTACACATTCTTAACTCAAAACCCTGAATCACCAAGAGGACCGAATTAACTGCCCAAAGGCTACCTATAATGAAAAAACAAATGTGTTCACAACAATCTTAAAGGCATTTTCAATAGCACAACAAGTCAAACCCCCTCTGTGACATTAAAATTAAATGCAAATCATTTCTTCCACGTGGCATCTACAGAATAATCATTTAACATCACAGCAATGAAGCATTTAACCTCAAATATTTTAACCCACGTTTTGTTGAGGTCTTTGCTTGAGAAACAATTCTAAATCACTGACATTCAAGTTCAACGTTTGCAAGATGACTTCTACACAAGAGCAGTTATGTAAAACATAAAACTGGCAAAGCTGATACGGAACTAATGACCTTGTATCAGTGAGAAACCAGAGGAATCGGCCTATACTAACTGGTGGGCTCTAGGAGGTAGCAAACTTGTATTTATCTCCCCAGACCACACAAACATTACAGGACCTAGAACAAGCTATTAAATTGATGCAAAAGTAATTGTGGTTTTTGTCATTAAAACAGGAAAACCACAATTACTTTTGCACCAATCTAATACAATTACACAATGGTCAGATTATTCAGCAACCAACTGTGTGTGTGTTTTAGACGGAGTTTTGCTCTTGTTACCCAGGCTGGAGTGCAATGGCGCGATCTCGGCTCACCGCAACCTCCGCCTCCTGGGTTCAGGCAATTCTCCTGCCTCAACCTCCTGAGTAGCTGGGATTACAGGCACGCACCACCATGCCCAGCTAATTTTTTGTATATTTAGTAGAGACGGGGTTTCACCATGTTGACCAGGATGGTCTCGATCTCTTGACCTCGTGATCCACCCGCCTCGGCCTCCCAAAGTGCTGGGATTACAGGCGTGAGCCACCGCGCCCGGCCTACCGTGTGTGTTTTTAATCCCCAAAAGTGAGCCACAGACTTCAATAAAAATCACTTCACTGTGATCGGGGGATGGGGGTTCTAGATTGCTGGGAGTTTGCACTGGAATTCTTTTGTTGCACTGGATATGTGTTTCATATACTTTTCTACAAGATACACACCAGGACAGAAAACCTAATTAACCCAAGGCAACGGTTTAACACTTTATAGCAGTCACTATGGAAGCTGCAGATTTCCCATTACCTGAGTTGAAGTCAGCATGGGACAAATTTATGGAATGCTTATGATAGAAAGTCAGAAGGGCTCAAAGCTTAAGAGGTCTAGTCTAACTTCTGTATTTTACAGGAAAGGAAACTGAGGCCCAGATTACTTATGTGACTCTCTGAAGGACCCCCTCCAGCCAAGCCTAAGGTGTTTACCTCACAGAAACCACAATTGTAATTCTCAGTACAGCATATGGTAGTTACCAGTGAACAAAACTTGAACAAAGTTGACTGAAAAAAGACGTCCAGCCCTGCAAAAAAATGTCACACGTTTTGCCTTTTCAGGTTTTTGCAGAGAAGAAAAGGGTGGAAAGGGCACCTAGGACACCACTTCCCACCATGAGGTTAGACTGTGGTATTTAAGAGTCCTCTCTTCCAGGGGCACTCCTTGGTACCCTGGCACGAACAGCCAACACTTACCTGTTAACTGACCACACAGATGAGAATTCTTAAACTGCCCTTAAGTTGCTAAATTCTGGACTCTTAAAACTCTGGGGGCCCCAGAGCTTTTCTTTCCCGTCTTCCCTCTCACCGTCTCTAAGGCCTGGAGCCAGGTGGCTTGAGAATACCCCCCGAGGCAAATACGCTCTACCCAGCCAATTGCCGCGGGTTAGTGTACCCGGACGCTGCGAATTGCAGGTGATGGGTAGGCGACACTCCGGAACTGCTCCTTCCATCAAGGACCGCTCAGATTTTGAAGTTCCCGCCCAGGGCTGGCTTTCAAGTCCCCTACCGTCCTCTTTCTCCCTCTCCTCTGTCGACCCACGAAATCAACAGGCCTCCCGGCCTAACGCAGGCGAATAAACGTGCGCGACCGCTGCCGAAGCGTGATTCAAATGCAGGCTCGGCCTTTTGTTCCCCCCCCCACCCAGGTCAGAGAGGCCAGAAATTTCTTTCTGGTAACATTTCTCATCTCTCGATCCAGGCTGGCCTTATTATACAACAGATATCCCTCGGCGTCTGCAGAAAAAGGGCCCTGGGAAGTTACTTAATTGGTTTTGGGGGAGGGGAGGGCGTGGATTAATAAATAACGAGAAAAATGGAGAAGCCCAAGAAAGCGGCAAACTGGGGGCCCTGCAAGAGGGAAGCACATTCTGCGTAAAGCCCAGGCGGGCAGAAGCTCGGCTCGAGGCTGGAAGCCACCGAAGGAGCAGCTCGGCAGCGCCAGACGCCCCAGCCGACCAGGCCTTAAGAATGACGAGGCTCCCGCTCACAGGCCGGCACCCCTCGGCCCCCAAGCCCAAGAAATCGTTTCTGTTTCTCTGCTTTATTCCCTGGTTTCTCAGGAAACCCTGAAAACGGGGGAGAGGGGGCCTCAGAGGAACAGCGGCCTGCGGCGCCCCCGGCGGTTTCAGCGACCGGCTCGAGGCCTGGTCAATTCCCCCTCTTCACGCAGGGCCCCGAAGGCCGCACGCCCCGCCCACGTGGCGGGAGGCCCGAAGCGCAAGGCGCCAGGACCGCCACACAATGGAGACCAAGGCGGGCCCCGCGCGCCCCCGCCGCCGCGAGTCCCCCGCGCGCCGCGGGCGGCGGAAGGTTCCAGAACCGGCCCGCCCGGTGGGGGGAGGGGAGAGAAACGCGGGTCCCCCGAGCTCTTCGGGCCGCGGCTGGTACCTCAAACCCCTCTCGGCAACTCCACTCAGTCCTCCCAGCCAAGCCTAGAGACGAACGGCCCCCAGTTTGGGCGTTCCGGCTACCGCGGGCGCGACCGCAGTTCCACCACACTCACCCGTGGACGCCATTTTCTCTCCTTCCTCCTCGTTCTCTCAACGTCCGTCTCCCTCTCGCTTTCCCTCTCTGCGCCGCACTGCGCAGGCGCAAATCCCGCAACCTCGGGCGCGACCATCGGGCCAGGCCATGGGGGTGGGGTCAGGAGGGATGTACCACCGCTGTCTCGTTCTTCGCGTCCGCAACCCTTGTCCCAATCCTCTCTAAAGAGCGCCGGACGCGATACTCGGGCCAAAATAGCACCTAAGGGGACAGAGCGCCCTTGAGCGGGTCTCAATGTGAAACCGGAGAGGCGCTCCGCACGAGACCAGGTTGTTTGGAATGGTTCCGTCCTCCGGCTCTAGGGACCGTCGCTGAAGAGTCTGCCCTGCAGGGAGACGGAGATCGGCGGGAGGGCTGGGGGAAGGGACCCGGGCGGGAACAACTGCTGACTAATCCGCGGGCCTCGGGGAATCGGGTGGCGCGCCAGCCACTCGGCCAGGGTTACGCGGCCGGGTGTGCGCGGAATGGGTTCAGGGTTCCCGGGTCTCGCCTGGGAGCTACAGTCCCAACTCCCAGCCGGGGTGTCCGACCGGCCTTTCGGGGTTGCGGGGCGCGCTCCGCAGTGAGTACCCAGGACGCGTGGCCCGGGCCGGCGGGGAAGGGGCCCGAGGCCGGTCGTCTGGGTGGGAGGCCTCGAACGCCGTTCCTGGCCCCGAGATGCCATCCCCGGTAGCAGTCGAGGTGGAGCAGGCCCTTTAATCATTCCTTATCCAGTACCCTTGTTTTTACAGAAGGGGAAACTGAGGCCCAAGGATATTGAGTATCTTTGCAAATTCCCCAGCTGTGTTCGAACCAGACAGACCCTAGGACCCCTACTCTATCCGCCACCCGGAAGAAGCTCCGTCCTTGTCTTTCCATTCTGCCCTCCTGGCTTCCCAGTAAGGTAGGCAGGGCCTGGTGGTGCACCGCCCCGTTTTCGTAGATTGAAGAAAGTGAGGTCCAGGGGGCTCAAGTCCCAGTTCCGAGTGTCCGCGAGCAAGCCCTTCACCCCTGCGAAGGTGTCCTGAGCGGGGGGAATGGTCGTGAGGATGCAGGAGGAGGTTTATGCTGGGTGCCTTGGGCCCAAACCCTGCCTCCAGGCAAGGCTGGCCCCTGCCCACCTTCCTGGACCTCAAGCCTGGCCCCCTAGGTGCATGCCAAGGCCCGTGATGCCCTTAAATCCTTCAACAGGACCAGGAGCCAAGTTAGCGTCCTTTTTTCTGTGAACACATATAAAGCACCGGCTATGTGCTGTAAATACCCAGGGAAATTTGGGGATGGCTCAGAGGAGCCATGAGCTCAGACCACCTGCCTAGGGAGACACACTGGCCAAGCTGTGCTCATAAAGATAAGATCCATGATGTTGGGGGGCCAGAGGAGGGGAAGGCATGTTTAAGCTGGGCTTCAAAGGGTGAAATAGGAGTTTGCCTGCTGGCGAAGTGGAGGGAAGGACAATGCAGGCAGAGGAGCTGTCCACATTTTTCCTGCAGGAAACTGGTAGATGTGGAGAATGCCCTTGGCAGGGGAGCAGATGAGGCAGCCTTCTTGTTTCTCTGGGATCCTGCTTCCTGCCCTGAATCAGCTCAGTGCGAGTCCTGGGATGAAGAGGCCTGACCAGGGGTGAAGACCTACAGGCCCTGGAGGACAGGCTGGATGCAAGAGGAAAGCTTAGAGGGAAAGGCCTTGCTTCGGTGGGCAGGGAAAGGCCATGTTTGAGGGCGAAAGCTGGGACCAGTGAGGCTGGAGCAGCCACCTCCAAAACTGAGGCCGTCTTGATGGGCCGGTTGATGGCTACGGACGCCTGCCATGATTAGTAAGGATTGCTGTGGTTTACCGAGCCCTGTGGGCCAGGGCTTGCCTTAGCCTATTCCTTTTTATTTCATCGTCCTCTGAGGAAAGGAATTTCTGAAGTCCCATCTTATAGATGAGGAAGGAAAGGCTCATCTGGAAAAGATGAGGTTGGGAAACCTGCTCAGGGACACAGAGCAGAAAGAGGTGGAGTGCGTACCGGGCCCTTCCTGTGGAAAGGGGAGCTAGAGCCAGAGGGGCTGTGCCAGTGAGGATGCAGGAGAAGGCTTACCGTGGATCGGCTTGCCCTCAAAGGGGATGTCTTAGTCCCAGCTCTCCTAGTAGGGCTCAAAATGTGGGACTCCTGCCCTTCTGCCCCACCCCTTACCCCACCCCGTCTGCTTGCCCATTGGCTGGTCCCACGGGTCAGGGGCAACTGAAACCATCTGGAGCCTTAAGGCTGGGCACAGGGGAGGGAGGAAAGAGGGAGGTAGTAGCTTGAGGTGAAGGGGGAGGACAAAAGAGGGTTAGAGATGGCCTCGGATTCGCCCTGGAGGAGGGTGCTGTACACCTCTTTTTGGGAGTTTAGGGCCAATCAGGACTCAGGATTCTCTATGCCTGTCCCCTGCCAGTCTTTAAACATAGGTGAGTGGAATGGCAAGATGGCTCATGAGCAAATGGTTTAGGGTCTGAGCTCCACTATGGCCAAGCTGCTGGGCCTGCCTCTCCAGCCTGTTTGCACCTCTGTAAAATAGGGCTGTTGATAAGGTACTTGAGAGGGTATTGGTGAGATAACAGCTGCAATAATAACTTGTTATTGTTTTCCTTTACCCCCCAGCACACAGCCCCAGGACCGCCCCTGACCACCCTCAACCAAGCTATGCATGCCAGGGGCCCCCACGGCCCACTGTTCCCGTCGCTGCCTCTCGCCTCCTCAGTCCTGATGCTGCTGATGAGCAGCCTGTGGCTGTTGGGGGCCGGCCCCAGCCTTGTCCTGGCCCCGGAGCTGTTGCTGGACCCCTGGCAGGGTGAGGGCCAGCCACATGGACCTTGGAAAGCAGGAGACTTGGTGTAGGGCCTGGGCCCAGTTGGCAGGAGCAGCACGAGCCCTGCAGAGGTTAAGCAGGAATGGGAGCCAGTGTCCTGGGGAAGCTTGGCCTTAAGACAGGAGCATGCCCAGCACATCCACAGCCAAGAAGGGGGGGCAGATAACTCGGCAGGGTGGGCTGGAACCTGTGGGTAGGAGTGCTTTTCTGAT